GTTTGCTTGTTTTAATCAATTTTAAATCATGCTTTTTATTTGTTTTTGTTTCTAATGTCTCTGTAAAGCACCTTGTTGTTGAATTGTGCTATACAAATAAACTTGCCTTGCCTTGCCTTGCCAAATACTGAAACAAAGCCATTAATTCCTGTCAACCATATGTATCGTCTTTTGAAAAAATGTAGTGTCTGAACATGTTTGTAAGTAAATTATATTTCCAGGTGTGCCATCATCCTTCATCATATTTTCCTAGCAAGCTGATGAATATTTCTTGGTTCACTGAAATGAAAGCTAAGGAATATCTCTGTTGTTTAAATATTACGTAATACCTTTTCCAGTGATGCTGCATGCCATGTAAAGACCTGCAAATGAAACAATAAACAAAAATACACAGCATAGAATCCATTTTAATTTTACTTTTACAATTCCTTAGTGACAAAGATAGAATGTTTTTGGAAATTATTCATAATCTGCTAGTTTTTGTATGTGCTAGTGGTTCTCTAAGTCGAAGACAGTGGTTCTCAAACTGTGGGTAAGACAGCTAGGTTTAAAAAAATGAAGTGAAAGTAACATAAAAAAAACAAAAGTCAGGGAAAATACACAGAAGAAGAGCTTTTTGTTGCTTTGTGTGACTTTTAATCGAGTCATTTTCTATTTTAATCTTGTTTTCATCGTTGAGGTTTTAACAAAAAAAAAAGTAAGGTGTGGAGTGTGAACTTTTTTCGGTTTCTGAATGTGAACTTTTGTTTTGGCCTATGATGTATCAACAAAGCAGAACAAAAAATCTAAGAACCACGGGGGTGGTGAAACAGAAAGGTTTATCAAAGTTTCAAAAGCTAAAGTAATTTTTGTGTGCAGAGTTGTTCCCTTGATACAGCAAAGTCAATCATTTATTAATTATTCATCCATTTACAAATTAATATCATATCAGTTTGTTTAAAAGTATTTGATAAACACATTTCTACATTTTTTAAAAAAAAAACTAAACTGCAACCTGAAGTTATGGACTTCTGGCACATGCATGAGTCATCTCTGCTTAAAAAGCCCTGTTAGGAAACTCTTTTCCTGAGCTTTCCACACAGCTTTAAAGGGGAAGTGATGACTTAGAGTAATCTGTTTTTCTTTTCATGCAGACACCACAGTCAGCACATCGACTTGCACCATGAACAACACATACCAGCTGTCTTCTCAAGAGGAAATGGCCCCTTCACAGTTTGATGGTGGGACAGTGGTGTCGTGTGTGATCCTTGGTTTGTCCTTCCTGGCTGGAGCTCCTGGGAACCTGCTGGTGATCTGGACCATCCTGAGACATGTTGAAAAGCGCTCTCACACAGTGGTGATTATTCTACACCTGGCTGTTGCGGACCTGCTTGTCCTCATCACCCTGCCTCTGTGGATCTACTCTCTGGCCCACTCCTGGATATTTGGGGTGGTATCTTGCAAAGCCATGGTGTTCATGATCAACACGTGTATGTACAGCAGCGTTTTCCTCATCACCCTCATGAGCGTGGAGCGTTTTGTGGCTGTGCGATATCCCTTTGCTTCAGCTCACTGGAAGAGGAAACAAGCTCTAAATAAAGTACTGCTGGTTCTGTGGATTGCAGCACTCTTGTTCAGCATACCTGTCATCCCAACTCAGACTGTTGACAAAGATTCTGGTAAGGATAGCTGCCTGTACCGTGAATATACTTCGGTGACCCAGGAACTGGTGTGTGTCTTGTTAGAGACACTGGTTGGCTACATAATACCCTTCTCCATCCTTGTGGTCTGCTATGGCTGCCTCTGCAGCCGGATTACTCGGATGACTCTCAAATCCAAACGCAAGTCCACCATCCTGATCGCCAGTGTCGTGGTTGCATTTGGCATTTGCTGGACACCTCATCACATAGGAAATATCCTCTCGCTGATCATCCTGGGAACTGAAAACTCCTACAAGGATGTAGCAGAACATTTGGAAAACGTGAGGACCACTATGGTTTTTGTCACTGGAGCCATGGCCTTTATCAGCAGCACAGTTAACCCCATCCTCTACATGTTTGCAGCTCGCTCCTTCAGGAGCTCCCTCCGTGACACAGGCATCCAGAAGCTCTTCCGCCACATCTCGAGCACCTCCCCAGGTGAGGGCAACAGGGAGGTGTCCTATGTGTCCAAGAGACCCAGCAATCAGACCAGCACCTCTCATGTGCTATCTGAGTCAAAAGATCAAATAGGTGTGTTGATGACAATGTGTGAAAACAATCCATCTGGGCAGTGAAATTGAACAATGTCTGTTTGGTCTGTGTAGATACTCCTGTGTACTCAGTATTCTTTTTCTGAATAAAATAAATGTTGAAACACTGATGTTTATTTGTATGAAATTGCAACAAAAAATAACAAGTATATCTGTGCTACACTTGCCTAACTTAATAAATTACCAATTTTGCATGTTTGTATTGTGAATATATTTATAGAAATGCTATACGTTTTGTACTAAATGTCCATAATGACATGGGCCAAATAACCAATAAAAAATTCTTTATGTAAATAATGTCTCAGTTTTGTAAAATACAGTTTGTTTCAATTACTTTGTTGAGTCCATCAAAGAGAAAATAAATAAATAAATTCAAACCGCCTGTAAGTGTGGGATTATGATTAGACAAAGCACAGTGGTTGTTATTTCCTGTTATTGCATCTTTCATTTATTTATTTATATGACCACAAGGAGAACTTCATCAGAGATCTGTCTGGCTGCTTTAATATAAGGATTTGAACATTTGTAACCTTTTTGCCTCATTCTGTAACATTTCTTATAAACTTTTTAATCTGATAATATTTTATAAAGGTGTTCTTTTTTCAGCCATGGCAGATTAAAATTGACCTGATAGTCTACTTCAGACAATAGTCATGCTTTCAACTTCCTCTCGATGAGTAGATTGCCAAATGAAGACTAGCGTGTTTCCTTTGCTAAGCAGCAAAAAAGCGGAATCGTGCCCTGATGTTTGTCACATTTGCACATGTTGGGAGTGACAGAGTTCAACGTCCAGTTATTCACAGACATTTTTAAAGGCGCACATATTAACAAATTAGTCGTGTTAGTTGTAGTATTTTACGTTTATCTGTCCCCACAGCTGCACAGCAATAGTTCTGATTAATTTATCGGCCAGAAGATGGCAGTGGTTGCTCTGTACATTTGTACTTAAGGGGTGGCTGTTGTTCAAGAAGTAGGGCAGGTCACCTGCTAATCAGAAGGTTGGTGGTTTGAGCCCCGTCTGCTCCCGTTTGCATGCCAAATATCATTGGGCAAGATACTAACCCCAAGTTGCTCTCCAGATGGATGCTTTCTGATGCATCCATACGTGTGTGAATGTTAGATATAGAGGACTTACATAGGCAAAAGCAAAGGAATGAGGTGCTTGTATGATTGGGTGAATGAGGCAAGTTGTATAAAAGCACGTTGAGTGCTCAGTTACAGTGTTCATGATATGAATCTGTTGTGGGAACAGGAACCAAGCTTTTCCATTCTTTCTCCACTTTAGAAATACACATCTACAGAGTTTATTCATGGTTTAGCCCCCACAAGTCTTAATCTCAGCCATATACAGTGAATTCTGTGAATTAAGTCACTTAGCTTGTAAAACATCATATTTTGGCAAAGTCATTGAACAAACGCACCACAAAAACCTTCAATTATAGATGTGATTTCATTGTTTTAAGCCACACAGCTGGAAGAACTGCCATTCCAGTCTAATAATTTTCCTGTCTGTTTAAATATGAGATGAACAAGATCTGATGTGAGAGCATTCACATTTCACTTAATTGTTTGGGCATGAGTAAGTCAGAATTATTTTGAATATGACAGCGGAAAATTACAACGCTCAAAGGGTGTGACAAAACTGAGCTCACACTGGTAAGCATAGTTGACTTGCTTGACATTTTCTCACAGAATGAGGAAGCAACTTGTATATCATCATCAACAGTGTGGTATGTGCCTGCTGTTCCCATTGCCTTTCATAAGGCATATTACTGCATGCTTACCACATTTAAGTTAGGTTTTAAGTCTCTGCTATATAATAATATTGTGTAGTGTGAAGGTTTTTCCAAGAAAACCTGGCTTATACTAATAAAGCCGCTTGAACAAGCAGGGTTTTTTTTGCTATTCTTTTAAGTCATACTTACCTTACAGGACAAGACTTGCCACCTGGTACATCAGAGCCGCCAATCTCTTCCAAAAAATGTACACAGAAGTGTCAAAGGTTTTAGCGCTGGCTTTCTGGAAGCTCATCCACTTTACAGCCTATGATAAAAGTTATGCCAAAGCACATTATTTAGGAGGATATTTGGAGTGTGAATGTGACATGTTGTCTTTCTCAACTTTTTCACCAGTTACACCTGCTGAAAGGAGTTAGCTTGTGACTTTACTCTCCGGGTCAGTCTACATGCATAAGCATGCCCTCAGTATGATGTAATGAGGATAAATGTTCTTTGCTGTTGTGTTGAAATATCATTATATGTCTCAGATTTCAGCGTTTTCCAGAGTGTCCCTTAAGTAATCGGACTGGTTTGGCTGGAAATAGTGATTCGACATGAGAAAGGAGACACAAGGAATTACTCCTGAGATAGGGGAGATTTATTTTGAGTGAATGGACATGAAAAGGCAAAAAGCCTTGCATTCAATGCAGTTTGTTGGCCCATAGCAGGCAGAACAGGGAGTGTCAGTAGCAACAAAACCTTGGATTTCTGGGAACTGGGCCAAAGACTGGTGAAAACTTCACTGCTATTTTGAAGTACCATATTTTCTGGCGACAAATACTTTCTATTGACAGGTACATGCAGCGTATAACAATACAGTGGGATTTTAGAGGGAAGAATATGGATCACAAGCTGGAAATGTATAGTACATTGCTAATTCCACTGTTCTTTCTTGTGGTAGAAGTTCCAGGATGTGTCCTTTTGTTTTGTTCTTAATTTTTCCATTTGCCCTTTATTCATCCCTGCATTTACTACTACTGTTTACCCAAAACTACATTACAATTAAGAAGCCTACAGAAGCAATAAATCTTTCTTTTGCCTGAGTCAAATGCATGTTGTTCTGTACATAGATTTTTTTTTTGTGATCTCCATGTTTACAGGTTTTCATTCTGGAAGTGAAATAACATTATCTGAAGACAAGGAAGCAAACAGTGAAATGATAAGTGTGAATTTGTGTGCAGAAACACTTTCGTTGCATCAAAGTTCCACACTGGCATAAACATGTAGTGTCTGAACACCTTTTTAGAGAATAAACATGTTGGAGTATTTTCTGTCACCGTGCCCACTGAATTACAGCTGGAGCAGAAGTCCCTAACTAACTGTTCTTACCCTAGTCACGTTTGAGATCAAGTTTGACATGGGTTAAAGCAAATGTCTGGACAAGATGTGATCCAAATGGCCCAACACCTGGCACATAAAGGGGTTGTTTTTAGATTATATTTTTTGCAAATTCAGGTAGCACAAAACTAATTTTAATGGAAATGCACAGAGTTTGTCCCGCAGTTCAGTTTCTCTTTAATGTACCTTTATGTGCGTGTATGATTCTGTTCACTTCTTTTCCACTATCACCGTGAGACATCTGCAGGTTGCCCGGCGTGGTCTGCACAGCGTACGCATAAGCCTCATGGAGCGTCGCCCCGTTTTGTCTTCCACATACTTCCGGATTTAACAGCACCAATAAGCCAATGAGATCACAACACTCACCTCAGCGTCCCGCCCTCACCTTTGCGAACCAGCCAATAGAAGACGCCCCCGGGGCGACGCTCGAGCAAAGGCCTAGCCATACAGGTAACTCGGTGAAAAAAAAATAGTAAGGCGAGGAAGAAAAAAAAGAAAAAAAACCTCCGGGCTTGTTATGGCGTTCGTGTGAAGGAAACACGGATTTCCACCCTTCTTTACCAGTTAAACCAGTATCTCTGGATAGAACACACTCAAGTACTGCAACAGGTAGAGTCTCTGACCGCAAAGTCTTCCGTGGCTCCTCTGAAAATAATCTCCCCCTTTTTTTTCTTTCTCTCTCCGTTTATCTCAATTGAGTTTCCAGCTCTTTTGTTCGCTCTTCTTATCACTTGGAAAAGGTGAACCCTCGTGTTATTTTTTTTATTTTAATCTTTGCTTTAATTGTAGTTTTTACCCTTGTGGTCCCTGATGGCTTCGCACAGTGATACTCTGGTGGTGTTCTTTGGGGCAACAGCTGGTGAAAATGGGGGTAAACTGGGTTCGGATGAGAGGGAAATAATTCTCTTGGTGTGGCAAATTGTGGATCTACATGAGAAAAAGGTACGGACCTTTCTGACCCCTTCGTTCGTTGTACGGTTTCTTATGTATTCAGAGTGTTTGTGGCATAGAGTCTACCTGTAGAGTCTGACATTTAAATCAACATGGTGTGCTCTCTGAAACCGTGTGGAGCCCGCTTGTCTTGTTATGCTAGCTAACGCTACTACTGCCCGTCGTTAGCGCACCTTTTTAACAGGTGTGCGACCAAATTTAAAAAAAAAAAAAAAATAAAAAAAGCAGACAAAAATGGGGGGCAAACACACCTTTTTGGTTTAATATGTCAGCTTCTCGATGTAAACGACGCTTTATTGACAATTGAGTGCTTTTTTTTGCGACTGCATTGTCAATTCTGTTTTGTTTGTTTTTAAACAAGTCATTTCCTGTATGTGGGGGACCTTTAATTTGCTATAAGTTAGCATATTTTTTGTCATCAAACTGTATTCCTACGCCATGAAACGCTAAATGCTTTCACAGGTCGGGAAGCTTCATAAATGTTTTGTCAAGCCGGACACCTTGGAGCTGACAGACCAGTGTAAAGAGGAGACTGGGCTGACTGTGGACGACATCGTCAAAGCTGAGCCACTGGACAAAGTTCTGCAACAGGTTAGTCTCACTGGTCTTTTCAGGTGCATTGGGAAACTTGAAGTGATGCATACGGGTATGAAAACCACAGCAGCTGCTCATTTTGTGGGAAACCCAGAAGCTTATTAAACCCACAAAACTTTCTTTTGGCAGGTTTTTGCCTAGAGCGTGATGCGATATGACAAGCCTGACTGGGTATTAAGCTGTAAGCTAGAGTAAGAGTGTCAAATTTCCCACATGATCTTTTTGTTTTTTAAAAGTGGTGTTCCACCTGGTTGAGATGTGTCATTGGTTTAGCCCTGACAGTGAAACTCTGCTGATGGCTTGCAGGAGCTCAAGAGCTATGATGGGGCAGAGCCTCAGGCGTCTGGAGATGAGGAGTCGTCGCAGGTCTAGTCTTGCCCAGGCCTCATGTATGCTGTAGACATCTGGAAAGCAGAGTGTTTACCTGGGACCGCACCTCTGTTTTAGGCAGCAGCACAGACAGGAGGGTGGAAGCTTTCAGGTTGTGGGCTTCATCTTTAGCACCTGGTTACAACACTTCTTTATGACCAAGATGTAATTTTTCCTCCCTTGGTCCCCACTGTCTGGAGGTCTATGTTGGCAAAAGTGCTTATGTTGCCAAACATGTTTTTTGCAACCACCCTTGAAAGGAGT